TAGTTGTTCGATAAAGCTCGTTAAAAACGTTACCCAGCAGACTGGAAGTGCATCTATTCGGGGTCATTGTAGGGCAGATCACATACAATGTAAAAATAAAACACTAAATTCAGCCGTGAATTAACATAATATTATAATATAATTCATAATCGATATATACAAGCGTATATATTTGTTTGGGATCAGTGGTAAAACTATTACAAAGCTCAAAAAAAAAAAAATGTGCATTACAAGAAGCTGTCAAACCAGTTTAAAAGAGCGATAATGTTAGCATATAAATTTGTACGGGAAAAAAAGTATTAAATAAAAACTTAGGACAAATTTAAGTAGCCCAAAACCAACAAGTAAAACGACAAACTAATAACTCGTTACCAGATTCGACAGTTATTAATTTTGATTAAACGGTTAAATGTATATTACTATTATTAATTTAAATCTAGTTTTTCATCAACATAAAAAAAAATATGCATAATATAAGGAAACTATAAAATAAACATTATATTTTAATTAGAATATAATATCGCCAGAAGTATTTTATTTTTTTAGTTAGAGTCCATAAATTAAAAAATGATAGGCCAAATTATTTTATTATAATTATATACATTCTGATAGAGTACTTTCTTTTTAGTGAACAAAAAACGGTATCACTATAAATTTTAAATTTAGAGTAAAGTATATTATGGTACAATAGTAAAGAACAAGAATTACATTTAGACGTATATGATATTCATATGAAGGGGAAAAAAACAAGCAAGACAATTTTTTAATTTTGTCATTCTGTTGATATAATATTCTTTTAGATACGAAACGAATCTGGTCTTTATTTTTAAACATCATTAACAGCTGGTATGGCATTCACTTAAGGAAAATTACTTAAGTAAATTTAACGAATTTATATGATAAATGGAAATCGGTAAAAATGAAATTTGTGAACTTTAGGTATATTGATCAATAAAAACCTACTGAGCAGCAATAAAACTGAAATGCACTACACGGAGTAGTTGACCTTTGAATTAATGTCCATAATAGTACGATAATTATAATGTGTTAACTATTAAAGTGAATGCTATTACTCGTAGATAAGGATTATTAAAAAATATCTTATTCATAATATGTATTAAAGAGACATTTGGCGTTGTTTAAATTTAAATCTACTTAATTATTGCAAACTGTTTAAAGCCCAATTATAATATATTAATCAGGGTTTTGTCGACCTCCTATTATCTCATAACAAGTACATCGCATTTCCTATGTTCATTATATTATACTCATAAATCATCAAAAGCGTGTTATATAGGTAAATGAAAAATGATTTATTGGAACGGATGCAATGCTGTATACATTGTAAACCTATAAAATCTATAACTGGCTAAAACGGGTACGACTTTCAATTACTGATTTTATTTATACAACAATAGCGCCTTTCTTATTCTTGGTACGTGATTTATAAGTTTTAATGATAAGGGAAAAAATGAAGCGTAATCTATTAAACATAATATTATTACTTATCTAAAATGCACTGGGCAACGAAAATTTTTCAAAGAAAAATTCTACCTGGATAATAAAATCCAATTAACTATGTGCACAGTTTTGCATTTACCTATCTACTGCGTTGTTCGTATCGCTCAATCGGCACTTTTTAAATGTTAAAACTACCTACTTAGTTTGCCAATTATTAAACAGCACCAACTAATTATAATTAGACGATTTACAAGCAAAAATAGAACGCATATTTAATGAATGTTTTAAGAACATACACTTACCTACCTATAGTTTAGATTGCAAAATTTGCGCACTTGATTTAGTTTTTTAAACATCAGTTTATTATCAGTCAACACCGACAACTGAGATTTCGATAAGTTTTTTATGTTTATTTGATATACCTCCGTAATGTTTAAATTATCTTACTTACAAAATATATAATATATATTAAATTGCTAAAACTTTTTTTACAACGTCAACAAGCCTGGTGGGTAATTATTAAGGTAATTGTAAACGAATACGGCAAATGTACGAGTAAATGTGGGATTTTATTTACTAAGTGCTTTTAATTAAGTACGCCATACAATTATGCAATAAAACAACCGCTTTTTTCAAATACTGCTTGTATTTTGCCCTTTACAAATAAATTAAAAATTGTCGAATATTTTATTTTTAAAAATTGCCTTGACTTTTCTCAGTTTATTTACAACTTAACCCAACTGACTATATATTTTCTAAAACTTCAATATTTTTTTCCTGGAAAATTACAACTGCAATCTGTGTTAACTTAAGGACAAGTGCTATTTATTATAGAAAAAAAATGTTAAACAATATTTTTTCAAAAAAAATGTCTAGGAAGCACTTTAAACAAGCCAACTTATTAAGATACAAATTTTTATATAATGTATTTGTCAATACATGTTATGTCACATTTTTATTACAAATTGAGTTTCAATAAATGCGACTGATTAATTAAACGGATTTCAATTTTTGTATTTTTATTGAAAAACTAACATTTTTTCTAAGAGGGCTAGAGGCTATTGTTTTATTATATTTATGCATAATATAAAAACTATAATCAAGTAAATCATATAACAGTATTAATATTAGTCAACAGTACAATGTAACAGTATATTAAAAAAACAAATTAACCTTTTAGCCTTCATAAAAGATACGATAAGCTGAAAAATATTTGAAACCCGTTTGGTAGACATTCTGGAAATTGACTTCGGTGTTTTTAATATTTATTTATACGACATTATGCTCTTTCCGTTTTCTTTGGAAAATAGTATTATTATGTTATGGGTACTTTTTAATAAACAAAGCTTACATTGAAGAAATGATTACCATAAATCACAAATATAAATAAGGCTTTCTGACGAATTGTAGTATTTCAAAATGGGGATCATGTACGCCATACCTGACTGAATTTAGTAAAAACCAAAATAAAAACAATTAACTAAAAAAAACATCAAGTCAGTGATACATAGGGTCAACAGTCAAGCGGTTACAGTCAATGATACTGCAATTATTTAACTTACACTACTTTTGTAATAGTGTTCATGTAGTATGTGCACGTGTAACTAGCCTATTATAGACCCACTCATCAACACATCGCCTTAAGTATAATTATCAGAGTTTAGTGTACAACTGTTCATTCACCGGACCGGCATACACATTTTTACAGCGTATCGCCACAAAAAGTTACTTCAAACACACTCAAGAGTACTTGACCATTTGTTTGTAATCAACTTTATAAGAATACATACATATATATATATATATATACTTTGTGAATGTGGCGCGTTTGTGATTTGAGTACAATCGAAAATGGGGACAAAAACATGGGTCCACAACTTGACTTGAAATTATAAAAAAAAACCTTATTCATTCAAATAATTCGTCTGGCTGATGATATTAAAATAACCTTACAGTATTAATTAATAATACTAATATACTATTTTTTAGATATATTCATGTGTTGAAAATTATTATTATGGTCGTTTTCTCGGCGGTTGAAATTTGGACTTCAGAAATCCGTACATTACATTTCGTTGAAAACACATATCAACTTTTTGCGGGTGATTTAACAGGACATTGAAAAAAATGAACCTTGTAACCAATGAGAACTAAACACACCTAGACGCTCGTCAATTAAAAGGTTCTTAATCTAAATTACTACACAACATAACCTACTACAAAGTATAAGCTAAAGATAAAATGTACACAAATTTTAAGTGAATTTTTTTACCTTATCAAAAAGCATACGTCAGTACATCATTCCACAATTGACTTAGGTACTTAGATTTTTATACGAATAAATAAATGATTAATCTTTTTTTTTTAAATAAAAAAAAATTAAATTAAAGAACTCTATTAAAATGTTCAAAAATATTTCTTTATACTGTTAACTTAGGCACTATTTAAATAACAAAATAAAAATAACAAATAATGATTGCAAATCAATTTTTATTTAAGCGACCTCAATAAAAAAATGTTTTATTAATTTTGTATTTGTAACTATTTTGTTTTATTTATCTTAAAACTTTAAATAAACCTAAACCTTATTTATTTAAATTAAAGCTATAAACTTTATTAAGTCATTTCAGTATTTCAGTTTAGTTTTACCATTAATTATAAATACTTTTTTTATTTTATTATAATCAATAGTTTTATTATCGAACGCCTTGATATGGAGCTGTATAATCGTATACAATATTATTACACTCATGAACCTGTTACATATGTGCTATTAAATTGCCTATGGATAACGCCGTTGAATAAAATTATTTGGCTCCACACAAAATAGTAAACAGTCGTTTGAAATATTAATTTATCAGCAATTAAAAAAAAAACATATTTTTCAAATCGTTTAACTCATTACAAACAGTATCGTCGTTACAAAAAACATATTAATATTACATGATTTAAGAAAACATATTAATATTATATGATTTAAGAGATCTTTAAAAAAAAAAACCATTACTTTCCCCCAAAGTGCGAAGGAGTGTTAGTAGTAATTGAAATAAGAAATTTTAACTGAAAATACATACAAACAACCTTATCATTTTTTTTCTTGAAAAAAAATCGGTAGACGTTTAAACAGTTTTAATACATTTACAAAAATTAAATGAAATTATGGGTAAGGTATAGTTTAATGAGTGTATAATTTGTTTTTAATAAAATTTGCTGTTTCTACAACGTTGTTATACAAACAGAATAAAATAGTTTTTGTTTTTAACATACAATTCACAGATAACATTGAATTTGAATCCTTACATCAAATTCCACAATTGCATACGTATAATGTGCATTAGTATTCAACGACACAATTCAGTGTACATCAATACGGCGTCCGTAGTCATTGGAGTAAACGACACTCCACTCAGACAATATTGTGACAATATTGAAGAAAAAAAACAATAACGAGAGCACATTCAAAAAAATTGTGCAGTTAATGTATAAATTAAAAAAAATCCAAAACGCCAAATAACGTCCATAAACAAACAAATCATTACCTGACTATATAATTGATACACATGACGCTTTCCGGCTTTTGTCCTTTGTGGTCGTTTAGAATAGTCGCTTGTGTTACGACCCAAGCGTAACCACCTCCTTTGGCCAAAAACCGGTACTTATTCGTTTCGACTTGACCTTTTTGAAATACTACAACGCAAACAACATGCTTGTCATTAATTTCAAGTAATATAAAATCGAATAAAAAATGTAACTTACAAATTTTAAAACTTTTTTCTACAGAATTACAATCTTGGGCGTGATAATAATCAAAAACCGATTTTGACACCAACGATTCCGGTTCGTATCCCAAATATTTTGTTATTCTGAAAATTGAAAAAGAATTGACAGGTTAATTTACTATTACTTTAATTTCAGTTACTATGTTTAGTCTACACATTACATTACGAGTATATAAAATACAATAATTTAAAACAAATATCCCAAACATCGATGTAAAAAATAATAATATTGCAAACATATATTTATACCTCAATATTTTAGTTTTCATTTATTTACTTTTCAACAAGTTTAAAATCGGTAGTACGGGACAAGGTAATTTTGAGTAATTGAAACCTGGGCATTTTTTATTTAAATAACAAATTCTTGTAGTGAGTATTCAATTGAATGAATACCTTGTATTACTTAATCAAAGTACTTTTTTATTAAGCGCTTAAGTTTTTTGAAATAAATTTATATTTACTATATTATAAAATCATTGTCTGTGCTCTACCATGACCCTTTTTTTTAATATTTCAACCAGTTAATGAATAATTAATTAACTAAGAAAGGACTTTTAAATTATATAGTGTCGGTTGTATTAATTATATCGAACAAATACGGATGCTGGAGCACAGATAATTTTGTCATATTATAAAATATGTATGAATTTCTTTCCTTAACTATGTAAGAAGCCTAAGAAAAATTAATCCGCGTAATACTGTTTTGAAGGGGAAGAAAATTGTAATTTACCCTATAGAAATGACTGTGATAATCTGACAAACAAAAATGACAACCAACGAAGTATCCTCATTAGTGTATTAATAGGTATACATTATAGTTTAAACTCTAAATTAAAATTTTTCGAAAAATTGCCTATTCTTTACTCCTTAGAAATGGCCTGTGTAGCGTCCTCTTAAAGAAATGAATGACTTACACGTCATCAGCGATTAGATATTTCATATCCAACGAATGTTTGCTGAAAAATATTCTGCTTTGTTTATACAACGGAATCTCTATATTTGATGGATGTGGAATAGGCTCGGCGATAGATACAAATATTTGGGAAGGTTCATCGCTAACAGACGTTTCATGTTGCTCATCCTCGTTATTAGATTTGTTGTCGGAATCGGTTTTCTTGTCCGATTCGTAGTCCGAGTCCGATTCATCGTTCGATATTATAGCTTTCCGTTTGGCACTTGAATTCATTACAGAATGTCCTGTGAAATGCAGCACCTGAAAATTAAAACTGTAATTTTAATATCGTTGGGCTTATTTGCGTTTTATTCTTAGAAACATAATTGCAAATATACAATTTTACAGACCCACACTTAATGCGATAACGTTTCAATCATTAATCATATATATGCTAACAATTTTTAGACAACTTCCAATTTATTATAAATTATAATTAAATTATTAAACAAAATTTTGGGTTTTAACAAGAACTTATTTTTGTTATCGGGTATTAATTATTATACACGAGAAAAGTAGGTCAACTTTAACGGAAATACGTAAACAATCACTAATTTGTATTTTTCAATTACAAATAGTACAGAGGAGATATCTTTATTTTCAATTAAGATAAATGCAATTGTATAAATGTTGTATTTTTTAATTTTCAGTGAAAATTATTGTTGTTATTAAAAGTGATAAAAACAAATGCCACGAAACGAATCTGTAGGTAGTAAGATTTAAGTGTTAATAATAATCGTTATAAAGATATAATTTTAATTTTTAAATAATTTGTGTTTAATTATATAATTTGTTAAAAACAAATCCATTGTAATACACATTAGATTTGTTTTTAACGCATTCTTGCAAAGTGACTATACGTAGTAGACTTATGATGATAACCCTGCATCAATAACTATTTTAAAATTTTAATTGAAGTGATGTAAACCAAAAAATATAAATAACTTTTACACGAAATTTTTTTTTTATAATTTTTCAAAGTATTTTTATGCGTGATGTTCATTAATTTCCTTCAATGTCTTTTTAAAAAACATAAGATACGAGTATATTACATTATACATGTTGAAAAATCTATCTTATAAACATTTTAAGGGATGAAAACAGCATATAACTGTTTAGCTATTTCTTTTTGATTATTGCACAATTGTACGTATGCAATTGAAAAGGTGATTATTAGATCATTATCTAATAGACCCACGATATTAGATAATTTTACCAGAAACAATAATAAATTTAACAGATATTATTTACTCAACAACTAAAGATGGAAACGAGACTAACGTGTTTATACGATTAGTGTGATAGACCACATTCCTGAATGGCTTACATGATTGGAACCCTATTATTATTGAATTAACGTCAAATTGAGTAGGAAACTTGTAAAAGTAGTTGAAGAATTTATAAATAAATATTTTCGTTATACGAGTCCTATTGCCAAGAAAAGTACTTGAATACAATCAACACAAGAAGGAAACTCTATAAAAAAAAAAAAAAACCAAAAATCAATTTTTAATTTAAATTTCGATCTAAAAAAGTATAACGGTGCTTGGCGGGTTTAATGTCACAGAAAATGAGCATAAACAATTTTTCAACGTTAAACCCAAAACATATTGATAAATTTATCATCAACTAATTGATTGTGCAAACGGAGTAAACAACCATCAAACTTGTTTTCATTGTATTATTAATATTGATTGACCTAGAAACCCACATGTTTGAGATTAATTTTAATTTTAAACAAGGATAGGTACTGGCGTTCATTATTTTCAGAGTCTACAAGCAGTTGTCTACATAAATAATTAATTAAGATGATACATATTCCTTAGAGCAACAGGTAAATACATGGATATACCATGTCTTTAAGAAACTGTAATAGGTATGGTAATTTCTTAAATATATCTTTATGATTTTTAGAGATATTTATGAACTATTGAAGTTCTCTTCTTAGCAAGAGAATAATATTTGTACAATACAATACAAATGTGTACAAGTATAACAACACAAACAAATATATTAAAAATCGAATTAATATGTTTAAACTCTTTGAGGTAAAAAAACAATAATTTATTAAATTTAGTCTCAGATGTATTACAAAACGTTTCCTTAAAATCTGTAAAAACATGTGGTGAAAATTCAGCATTACTTCCGGTATAACGTGGTAGATAAGCTCAGGTATAGTAGGAGGTTGTTTGTCCGTTATCAGTTTGTTTTGAGCGCTGATGATAATCTATATTGCAACCAAAATACGCGTATACACTAAACATTAAAGTGTATTATTTTTATGGTTTTTTGATATTTTATTATTGATTTCAGTATAATCACAAGTGATACTCAGATTTTTCTAGTCAAAAATGAATACGATTACATTTTTTAAGTATTTTTCATAGTTAACATTGATTTTCTTTTAAAACATATTCAAACGAAAAATGCACAGCCGACCAACGTTCAACAAACTCATATTAATACACATAACACATGTTGTATGGTGTTTAAAACTAAATCTTGGATTTTTCTATTATCAGACTATTTATGAACTTTGATATAAATGATAAAACCGTTTTCTTATGGACCAATTAAACTTTTTTTATCAATGAACCTTTAACCACGGAATTTTTTAAAGACGAATTTTTTACAGTGTTCACAAAAGCAACACACAATTAGGGCAAATTTACTTTTATGTTCAAAAAATGTTGTTTCTCTAATTATCTACAGAATTCGTTTTCAAATTTTAATTATAAAAATTTCGATGGGAAAAACTCAGAAGGCATTTGTTTTACAATAGTATTCTGTTTTAATAATTTTTTCGTGTTTCACAATAATTTCCAGAAAAATTGTTTTGGAGTATGATTTGGTAAGGTAGCACTTACAATGTAAAGTAAAACCAAGGAAACAACATTAATCCTTTTCTCTTTAAATTCTCAAAAAGGATGACATTTTTTCATTGTTTTCCTTTGGTGAGCGCAGATTTTGACATTTTCTTCGAACATTTATAATTAACCTTATGTTTTAAAAATGGGCTCACTGACCTATAATTGTTTGGGGTATACTAAATTAAAATAATAATAAGTAAATATTAGATATTCAAAATTGTTATCTATCCCTAGAGTATAAATTATTTAGTAAACATAATTTGTAAAAGGTCCTCTCGTGTCTAATGTCGTTAATCAGTTAATCCAATCCTTCTATCTTTACATCTTAACCAACCAAACAAAATCATCCATGCACTGCATATCTCCAACTATAATCTAAATGATAATTTTACGAAAATTCACAATCACTCTGAGAACTTGAAACCTGTTATCGGGCTTGCGGATAAGCAATAAACCGTTTTTATATTTTCAGTTCGATAACCATCAAACAACCGAACGCCTACTAAGATCTATTTGGTCAGTCCCCCTCCATCACCCCTCGTGGGGGTTTTATTACAGTAGTGAAATCGTTTGACGATGGACCGTGGGCGTACGTGACGCGATCCGCGAATATACAGTAATAAAAAAAGAAAAAAATATGCACGTGCAATATATTATTATTATTAGGTACCTATATTAACACGGTGTCTGCTAAATAGCAATAGGTAATAACATCATCATACAACAAAAATCAGGTTACGTGCTAACGATTCTGTGTATTTGCGATTCCAAGACGTTTAGGCTAACGTGATACGTCACATGTACTTACTATATAATTAAGAACAAAGTTACTCAAGCTCGGAGTGAAATAATAATAATAATAATAATACAATTATGAAAAACATAAACCGGTTAAACAGGAATATTACTTATGAGGTCGGGCGGGATCATGATCGGAGAGATCAAATTTCGTAGAGATTTTTCACTATCCTATCGTGTACACCGTGTAAGTCCAATACAAAGAATAATGGTGCGGCCAATATTGCTGCCGTTTCACTCCACTAGGAACAAACGTAACGTCTAGTTTTGAAAAACAGGTTTCAAATAATATTGTAAACCATACGTTTTTAGAAAACTACAAACTATTACACATATTATACTGATCTCATAAGACCTCGTATAGAATAGCGTTATCTTTCGATGACGTCTCAAGGCACGTTTCAAAAAAAAATGCTATTATTATTATTTGTTAATTATTTTGAACTTTGATGTGAAGCTGAGAAAATATTGGTTTTACAATGATTTGTTTTTATTTTTACGCCCGAACGCACGACACAACTTTTTAACCAGCAGACCGATTCGTTCATGTAGAAAGTCTAAGTATAGATAAAAAAAATCATACGGTACTTAATAAATCTTGAGACACAGTTTTTTTTATAGAAGCCCCTATACACTTAAACTACACTATTATAAATATTTTTCTATTCTGTAGAATTATTTATACTATTTGCAAGTATTTAATTATTTTTATCAATAGTTTCGCATCGAAATACTTTGTTTAAATTTATTTCATCACTTTTAATTATAATAATTTCTGAAGACCTGCAATACAACCTCTCCTCCACTCCACTATGATTGCTTTTTTGTTTTTTATAGTTATATTTCATTCGACTGTGCACTTAAAATAAGTAACAAATTTAGTTATTTTGCTAGTTAGATATTGTATACAATAAATACTATATACTTTTATCTTCAGTGCAAATACTAAGTAACGAGAGAGTATCGTCATTAATAATGCCTTATCTTTAAAAAACCGGTAAAGAGCGAGTACAGCAAATGGGTAACAAACTAGATTATGTATAAGTTCTATGTAATGCCTATCTGAGGCAAATGTTCAAAGCCGCCAGTAGCATTTTCAAGTGGGAATTTCTACTTGGTTATCGACATTGGATAATTAAAAACAGCTTAATATAAGCTAGGCAAGTAGCAATCAAATACAGGTTATATATTAACTATGCTGAGGAGTTGAGAATTTTTAAATGTGTTTATCTTGTACAAACCTTATAAGTGGCCGATTTTAAATTGACGTTTCGACCCTTGCTGGTCAAAGTGCATTTCATTCGGATAAAAAACGACTTTTGTACTCCAATATCTTTGCTGGTCAGTATTTCTTTCAATTCAGATTGATCACAAAGGTGAGCAAATTCGTACACCGATTGTCCGATCAAGTCAATCTGAAATTTAAAAAAATAGAAATGGGTTAGGTTTGAAAAATTAAACAATTATTAAAATGCATTAGAAATTAAAAACAAAGAACATAATATTATACAATTTATCTTTTGTCCTCACTCTAATCAATCACCATTCTTATTATGTACTGTCTTATCTCTTATTAGCTGATTTTCTCTTTTTTTCCCTCTCCTTATTTTTGTGTCGATTTTTATGAAGTTGTGATGACAAAAATATACTATATACTTTTTTTTAAATATTAGTAGCTCGGTTTGAAAAAAAAATTATTGTTATTATGTATTGTAGTATTAGTCTTTTGTAAAATTTTGTTTTAATCAATCTCAATATTACATGAATACATACGAGTATATGGCCTACTTCAACTTCCTCCCCACCCCTATTTATCATTAGAGTACACTTTGGGTGTGAGCAGGGGAGAATAGTAAGATGACATAATTATTACCTGTGATAAGCCTAAGTAGCTGGAAACGTTATCAGAAATAAACACTATATCACCGTCTGATGTTGTAATCAACACAATCCCGTCAAGAGCTTTATTGCAAATTTCGCTTAAATTGAGCGGCGACTCGTTTTTCTCGATGATTTTGTCATCAATGTGCACTGCAAATTAAAAAAATAAAATCAATTAACCATTTTTATTTTTGCAATTATACGGTTGTCCCTTAAAACCGAGCAACGAATACAAATTATTCATGTAGTATGTAATGTTATAATGATCAGATATAGTTGGGACACGCACAACAATAATTTTACATTATACAGCTTCGGGGCTCCTTGACCCGCCAAGGTTAACCGGATTTCTCTAGTGTAATAATATTGTTATGATTATTTTTCATACTAAAACGCATTATTTTCTATTGTCTTGTACAATAAATACCGCTGTACAGCCAATTGGGAATACTCGAGATGTGTTAGTGAATATTATAATAATATCAGTTATATATTTTCGGCACATATACAAAGTAATATCCTAATAATCATTAATAATATTATAACGTTGTATTATATTGTGTAACGAAGTTTTTTGGAGGCGAAAACACTAATAGCTACTCATTATAATATCCCTACCACTTCAACTATTAAAAATATTACAAGGTTTTTTTCATGTGTGTTGAACGTCCTGTGTTCATAAAGATTTTAATTTGTTCATTTAAAACTTCAAATGAAAATAGTTTTTTTATTTTACTTACAAAAAGACTCGATTTATAACTGATACAGCTCAAAATTACAAGAAAAAAACAGACTTGTAAATTAACGTTTACGTTTTAAAATAAATGATGATTTAAAACTGCTATTATTTTTATAAAAGGAACACCTAATTTCATGTTGACAACAATTATTTTTACAATTTCAAGCATTGACAATAACTCGTTATAACTTGTTACAGTTTCAAGTAGTTTAAATTTAATAAGAATCAAAGATACCATGAATTTTATTTGATTCTAATACTAACTAATAAATGGAAAGCCAGTGGCAATTGTAAATTGTTAATGAGTATGAGCTTTAAATATAGTTTATTAAAATAGATGTACTTAATGATTTATTTGTACCACTTAATTACAAAAATATGATCACGTATGTATTCACAAACAATGCAGCATAATAATTAATGATGTAAAATCGGTTGTCGAACGACATTGTTTTACAGCTTTACAGTGTTCTGGGTTCAACACACGGTTTGTATAATTTTATCTGACGAATATGGAAAATAGCACGTGATAGCTTATATGAAGAGCCCATTAATCAGTAAAAACACATTGTTCATTGCATCGTTATCGTTTGCTTAGTCAACGACTCTTAATGATGAAAATGAAAAAAAAAACGGATTTTTATTCAATGGTTGAATATGAACACCACATCGTGCACATTGGCACAAAGTCAAGCCAACGCATTTAACACCACAACGGAAAGACAAACAAATCCGTATAATATCTACCCTAATAGTACGATTAATTATAAGCCAGAAAAATAATAATCCTCTTTTTCGTTCAAACTCAACACCTACAACCGCTCGTAAAAAGTTGTAAAATTATTTTAAAAAAACATTTACTCGAAGATAAGGCGTCAACGATTTTGAACGAAGCAATTGTCAATCGCATCACAGTCGCTTTGTCTAGTTGACTTATAACAGTCCCCGGCAACGGAAGGGCAGTCCCGAGGTCGGTGAATATCTCTGTCTCTTTGCTCCGCCTGGATCTGGCAGCATCTCGAGACTTTTCTTTACGCCTTTCAGAATTTCTGTAAAATACAAACAAAAAGTATTTAAAACTTAATACTTAATACTTCACTTGGTTTCAACAACCAAATTCTTAATCAATATATATATATATATATATTAAATTTAATAAGAAATTTAAAATGAAAATAATATATCGTCTTCTCCTTCACCTTATGCCATAGAAATGGAGTTATTTAAAAAAAGAAAAATATGAATTCTTAATTATTTTGTAATTTGCGCCCCCCAGCCAAATCCATTTTAAAACTCGATAAGAAGAGCCAAAAATAAATTTCAATATAATTATAAAAACATCGATTGAAATCACTCCAACTCAATTTAACGTCTACCCCCCCCCCCCCCCGGACCTGAATATATATGTATATGAAGTATTATTGAACTTTGCATTTGTTTGCAACAACTGACAAGTTGAACGAAAAGACACAACGAAAAGTATTACACGAAAACTCACAACGATTGATTTTTAAATATTGTTCTGAAAACGGCACAAGTTGTTTATACTCCGAAGGTTATACTATAAGAGAAAGGGTAAAAATTAATAAAACTACTTGACACCATTAGACTATAAATTATAGAAATACACTATTGTTTTATTTACCACTCCTTTAACTACAGCAACATAGATTCCGAATTTAACCTTAGACTTTGAGCAGTAAGTGTTGACTCTTTTGTTTTTAAAACACTAACTATGTACGTTTATTGTGTATGATTTAAAAAATGGCTAACCGTTGTAAAAAAATAAAATATGAACATTTTACTATTAACTATGTGAGACAATAGATAAAAAATCATTCATACTTATGTATGAACGAGTCCGAAAGAGTTTTGGAACTTTTTATAAAAATTTAATTTTAATAGTTATTTAAAAGTTTCTACAAATAAAAGTCTCATGGGAAAACTTGTTTGAAAGTTCTCAAAAATTTAAGTTTTTTAAGAACAGTTATTTAAATGTTATTAAAAATGGAAGTTACATAAGTCAAGTTTTTTAAATGTCCTCAAAAATATAATGTCTACGGAGACACATAAGTAAATACAATTCTGAAATAACATTTACAGGAACATTTATTAAAAAGTTTAAAATAATAAGTTATATTAAATAAATTTAACTTTTAAAAGTTTTAAACAACTTTTAAAAATAATTATTTAAGTTCCTATATAACTGTTATTTTATAACTTTTATTTTTGTAAGGGATCTTAGTAATATAAACGCTCCATAATAACATTTTTCCAAAAAAAAGTCCTACCGGATGTTTTTGATATACATGATAATTCTTAAATTTAAGCCTTGTTTAAAATACTTTTGTGCATGAACAAGTTTTGTAAAAAACGTAAGAAATTCTTTGTACTACTTTAATAAGTAATAAATTAAAAAGGTTTCTTCGTGACACGCTGAACAAATTATAAATACAAACAGCGCAACGTCAAATACTAATAAATGGCAATACAGATGATAGTACCTACAGCATGTAAGATATAATTGATCCAAAACACTCAAGACGGCCTATAATAAGAAATATCTATTTAAAAACAGTATAGATTAAAACACTTAAACTTAAATACGAGCGCACTTTCTATTCTAAAATTTTCCAATTTCTGATACACGACAAGCTCGGCTAGGTATCCTAACATCGGTGTCCATTATTACATTTGTTAATATATTAAACATGAGTACTACCATACAAATGAGCTATTTTCATAACACAGACAAAACAATTTTTTTTTTTTTGGTACGTAAGAATTTCCAGCTGGGTTAGATAGTATTTTTAGTGCTGATTTCAAATATATCATCAGATTTTTCCTAACAGCTCTTCTTTTCGCCGCTCTCGATAAGGCAACGCGGCGAACGGCGGACGGTACCTGCCGCGGGTAGACATGCGCGTCGCTGGGTGCTAAATCGGCGATTTTAAAACGTCTGTAACTTCTAAACTAAGTGCGATAGGCGCAAAATATTTGCAGATTCGCAATCTGCATAAAAAGTATTATCTATTCGAGAAAAAAAACATTTTAAGAAAAAAGGTGTTTTGTAGAGTAAATTTATACCGGTTAGGTCATCATATTTAGGCACTTTTTGAGATTTAGCGTACCTATATCTCAAAAAGTAGAGCTGATAGGAAAAATCTGATGACATATTTGAAATCAGCACTTAAATACTATCAAAACCAGCAGGAAAATCTTACGCACCAAAATGTGTGTAGGCCAGTGATAATCAATCATATAAACAACTTTAACAGTACCACTAATTGATTCATACAGATTCATAAAGGATTATTATTAAGTTTGTTATTCAATCATATGAGCTCTATTTTTTTTTCTTTTTATTGAGCAAAAGCCTCGGTTGTATAGACCATTAGCTATAAATTACAGGTTATAACTAGCTATCTTACGTACTATATTTACAAATTACCATACATAATATTGTTTAGCTTTAAAAAAAAAAATAGTATACACATAAGTTTATACAAGTCGGATTGTGAAATGAAATTGATAATTTTTTAGGTATCGGAATAGGGTCCTAGGATTTTCAATAAATCGTCGAGCAGTTGATTGATTCTTTAAAGATCATCATATTTTCTGCATTTGGTTATTATGTAAGCGTAGGTGTTTGACCGTGAGCAAGGGAGCTCTAAAATTGTTTGTATTGGTAAATTTGTTTGAATCGAAGCAGATGACTAACAACTAATCCATAAAATCGCTTGGCGAAAATTCAATACTTCGTTCAACACTAATCAAATAAAACGAAATAAAATATTTTTTTTTACTTGATGAATCTAAAAAAAACTTCAATTTAAAATACTTAAATGATCATTCGACATATAAAAATTGAAATAAGCAAATATCAAACCATATGGATCTTGTTGTGTACACATAAACAGCCGACAGAAATCAAATCGATTGTTTTTGCTTGTTCATTTGGTATTTTAGAACGATAAATTTAAAATTGTATAAACTCAATTTTCCTAATACTACAATAAATATAATAATTTAGGTTTACTAAAAAAGTTATATTGACAGTGCATCTAAAATATTATATTATAACATTTAAAATGTGCTATTTGACACACAAAATTGATAAGTGTTAAACAATAATTTGTTTAAAAAAAAATTGTTAAATACTAGTATGAACATCTGATTATATACCTAATTAACCTAACTTCTAACGTTTGTGTGACACAAACGTTATAATATATAAAAACCGCATTTGTTTAATATATACAAATAGGTGAAGCCGTCATAAGTATGGGAAAATATTTTTAAATTCTATTTTTATATACATGTATTATATTACAATAACAACTAAAATGATTTTTATAGACATATGTTTTTTTTTAAATATTGAACTATTGACTTTTACTATAGTTTTTCGATACTCTTGGCTACATTTATTTAAACATGAATGAAAACATAAGAAAAATATTTTAGCTTTAGCTGAAAAGGTATTGTTTGTTTTTACAATGTGATTTTATTTTTTTGTCTGGGCCCACAATATCTTATAAACCGCTGAACCAATTTATTCGTGTAGCAGCTCTATTCATCAGAAATCGTACTTGAAAAGTATTTTTTTTGGAACACAATTTTAAAAAGTTCACTTCTTCTTCACAATCGAGAAAAAAAACAAAAAATGTGTATGTCTTTCAACAAAATTTCGGCGTTCTATAACTTTTTTAAAAATAGTTCCAAATTTGTATGGATTATTTTTTAGACATAGTACTACCGATAAATGCTGATTAACCAAACAAATACCATAAACCATTTCCCCTTTTTATTTACTTCGCTTTTTTTATGAAGTTTTAGGGCTTATGGTCTGAAAATTAGACAAAAGGTAGAACTAGTTTTTGGATTTACACCTGACCGCTAACAAAACAAGTTGTGCCAAAGAGAAACAGGTGACCATTTCTCATCCAAGACAGATGCCCGTCCAGACGATCAAACCGAGATTCGAATCGGCGACCGTATGTTACACACTGCCGCCTTTTTCACTCAGTCCCGCGACTGACATTATTTTTTATAAAAGAAATTCATCTGTAGTATGGTTTTTTTTTTAATACAAAAAAATCAAATTTATAAAACGACAAATATTGTGAAATAATTGCTTTTTTTTTTGTTTTTAATTAAAATTATTTATAATGAACAATTTTAATAGCTATTAATTTCATAGTGAGTCTGATGTTATGCGGATGAGTTTCAGATATATCCATGTCACTATTTTTAAGCCGACGTTTCGGACTCTTTGCAGTCCATCTTCAGGGCGATGATATCCACGACTGTTAAGCTGCCGTGGCCATACTCAGTCTGATGTTTTTACTAACTAAAATACAACCCAAACCGGCATGAATCATATATTATACTTATCTAATTATAACAAGTTAAAAACTTGAGTATAGGTCTATTATAATTTCAAATTTAACTTGACAGAACTATCTCATATTACTGTATTCTTTTATTAAAACATAATTTCAACCTAACAATTTCCATAGTTCGTTGTAAGATGTGTTGTCATATTATTATCGCTTTAATCTCACGGTTTTACTCTACACTATACTGAATATCTAGAAAGAAAACTAAGTTTGATTATAATTTTACTCACAATCGACAGTTGTTTTCAGATTGTTTGTAAGCTCAAACCGACCAGGAAACGCTCATATAACCTGATAAGAAGATACAAAAGGTCATATTTTCGTTCGTTAGAAATACTTAGAATACTGAATAGCCACCAAAGTTCATTGATTGTATACTAACTAATCAAAAGAAAAATTAAATAAACGTTTTAGGAAAATATTTGTTTTACAATATTCACGACCAAAATATTATTATCGATATTAATGTCACCAAAATAAATCCAAATATATATTAGGATAAGTGATAATTTTCAAGGATTTTAATTTTAGTTTCATAAGTAAATAAATAAGTAATTAAACTTTTAACACTAAAATAGGTTATGATAATCTATGGTTTGTATGGAACGTCTTAAAAAAATCTAACAAGCCATAACTGTGACATAAGT